TAATAATATCATCATTATCATTATCAGCATTAGTATCACATTGTTGTTAGGATTGATTCTATATTCCTCAATAGAAGAGGTCATATATGTTCTCGTACCCATTCTGATGTTAGTAGACGTCATGCATTTGTAGCACCATTAGAGATAGGTAGAATAGTTGATATTACAGTTGATGTGGATAGATGTCTAATATACTTTGGTGTATGGGCACCACCACTACCACCACCATCCAACAACAACAACAAGAGGTACTACTACTACTACTACTAACATTAATAATTAGTATACATGCTATTACAGATCAACATTACCATCACTAGAATCATCAGGAAACACGGTTAAGAAGTTAAGACCTGATTATGTTATTAATAATTACCATTTATTAGCATGTTCAACTGTGGCATTTGGTGATGTTGCTGCTACATGTCGTTATGGTACTAATAATAATAATACTCAGTAGTAATGATTATTCTATCATGATCAGGTTCTACAGGACATTTCTGTACAGTTCTGAAGAATACTAATGTTACTGTATCATTCATATGTCCTGATAAACAACAATAATAATAACTACAAGAGGAAGAGGAAGAGACGATTATTACATAACTTATCAACCCCACTACTACTCCCTTTCCATCTACAATTCTTCGTGTTACAGTAATAACTATACCCTATACTAGTAATATGATGATCCTGGTATAGAGTATTAAGGTGGGGGATAGAAGTATACTTATCGTTCTTATTATCATCATTGAGGTAGTAGTAGTAGTAATCTGATGATAGGCTAACACCACTACTACCACCCTAGGGATACATTTATACCATCATCAACGACCTAAGGATCATCATTGCTAATGTCCTCCTCAATCCCCTCATCATCATCATCAGACGATAATGATGCACCATCACCATCAACCAACAATAGTAGTATGTTGTTGTTATCTATACAACGTACTCTAGCAGATACGTTCATACCTCCTGTAATAATACTTATACTATCCATTATCTACTATTACTATTACTAGTATTAGTGTTGTTATTAGGTACTATTGGAACGTGATATGGAAAGGGAATGTATAATAAGCTTCCTTAATAATACTACTACTGCTGCTGCTAGTAGTAGTAGTGGTGGTGGTATTCTGTATGTATGTGGAAGTCCTGGCACTGGTAAAAGTCTTACTGTACGTATGGCTATAGATAATTACTTATCTAATAAGGGAAGAGCAGGACGAGCAGGAGCAGGAGCAGGAGGAAACTATACTACTACTAGTCGTGTTATCAATATCAATGCTATGACCCTTAATGATCCCACATACATCTTTACTATTGTAATAATAATAATCAATAGCAGTATCATTAGTAGTAGTATTCTTATTGATAGTTACGTGAAGAAGTAGGATCAGTATCATCAGCCATGAGGAAACATAAGAGTAAACCTTATACTAGACCACCAATACCACATAGTACACTAGGAACAACTACTAGGACGACTAGAAATAAGAAGAATAGTGGTATTCATAAAGGCCAACAACAACAACAACAACAGGAATTACTAGAACAATGTGTAGTACTCCTGTTATTATCATTATTCTTGTTGTTGTTGTGATATGGTAGTTATTCTTAGATAAGTGATATTATTGATGTATTGGATAATAGTAAGAATAGGACTATCATCATCATTGATGAAATAGATGCTTTGATAACTAATACCAGAGGAGGTATTATTATCATCATCACTAATCATTAATACCACCAACAACCAGCAGCAGGTCCATGTACTACTACTGATGATGATAATCTATTACTATTACGATTATTATTCCATATGACTACATATACTAAGAAGTTATCAATAATAGCTATAGCCAATACAGTTGATATAGCTCGTCGTATATCACCATATTTAGCTGTAATAACAACAAGTAACATTATTATTATGATTATCGTCATTTGTAGTCCCGTAACGGTAATATAAAGGAATTGGTATTTAAACCA